AGTCTGGAGTATTATGTGGCAGGGGCTTGTCTGTTTGAATTCTAAAGTCCCAGAGCACTTTAGCTTCTTCATTTTCCATTACTTTGTCTGTTTTGTGGTCCCACCAGTTCTTGCTTGCAGACAAAAGGCAGTTGTTGTTGTTGTTACATCCAAGGATGCTATGGGAAAAATGAATCAGTTATGTTGTAGTCATTTTCAGTTTCCTATCATAGCAGATTTCCTCATACAAAGAAATAACTGTCTAAACCTCATTCACTAGTATTTATTACTCAGGTTCAATAGAGAAAAGTAAAGCAAAGGGAAAGAATTAGAACCAGGTGGACCTACTGCATCTTGTAAGATTTCTTAGTTTGGAAACCCTAGATAAGCAAACATATGAAGTGAAATTATCTTGCCCTCATGCTGATATGACATTCTGCATTACACTGATTGACTCAGCATTAAGACCATACACAGTCATATCGATCAAGACACACAAAGTCTGGGACCCAAAAGTTTGCATCAGCATTAGATTAGTGAGCTGTTCTGTATGTTGGTACAACAGGGTGTGAAAGCATGCACACTGATTAGCAACCCTGAATGAAAGTAAGGGTTCAACAGTTCTGAGAGATAGATATTGTGGCCATTCATCCTGCATGGATTTTATAATTGAAAGAGGACTGGGTAAGGCAACCGTTGGATTACGCAGCTTTTTCCCAACCTGAGGCTCCTCTGCCTGGAGGCAACTGAGATGACAGTTCTCAGAATTCCAAGCCAGGATGCAGAGAATTGCTGTCCCAACATACTGCAGTGTGGAAGGCTGGGGAAGGTTGAAAATGTACTCTACATATAGCTCCAGATCAAAGGTGTAGTCATGGTCTAATTTCCCTTCCTTCTTCATAATGTTGAATAGAATTTTGTTTTGGTTTACAGACATTATTTTTAGTGTCAACCAAAATATTTATCAACTACATTAATACATAGATGACAACGTGAATCAAAAATAAAATTTAAGACAAAGTCCTCCCTCCCTCCCTTCTTACACTTGGAGTGCATCTGTAATGCAGCCCTGTGCTGTCTTCTGCCATTGATATCCTCTGACAAGAAAGCGCTCTGCCTCATTTTTATTAGCTGGGAGCGTCTTTCTGGACTTAAGGGTTGCAGGGTTATGACCAGATATCATATCATCCCAGGACCCAAGAAATTGTACTGTGATTTCCTGTTTTCAAATCAAGTACACAGGATGTATTGCTACAATATGTACTTCAGCTACATGTGCAAGGACTCTCCACAATGTAGATTCTAGACTCCTCCTAGAGTCACATAAAAGTGAGATGGGTGGCTATACAAATTCAATGAATGAATGAATGAACTTGCCCATGTGCTTTTGCAGAGCCATGTTACGTTCAAGTTTCACACAAGAGAAGTCATAAACTCTAATCAAGCTATATTTGGAGTAAAAACAGCCAGTGCTTCTCCTTTTACACATAGTCTGAGTAAATTTTCCAATAAACACTGATTTATACAAGACTCCCCAACTCCTTTTTCTTCTGATCCCACTCATGAAGACATAAGTCACACCATAAAAGCCTTGGCTAGAAGCACAGTCACTAACTGTAAATGAAGGGCCGTGCACATTTCCCTTGTTGTGCATCATTTCATCCTTGTTTCTGCTTTTTCCCTGCATGTATGGCTATCATATGAAATTCAGATAATATTTGCAATAATGAAAATTCCCTTTTCTTCTTTTTGCTGAAGAAAGCAATCTTCTAGGTGATTTCCAGGTTTTCTCTTTCATATCTATTCTGTAAGGGAACCTAGTTACTGGAAACAGAATTTTCCAATTACTACTGAAGCACGACTCTAGATCTCCCCTTTTAAATTCAGAAGAGCTAGAGCAATGCGGGTGCCCAGGCTGTATGCTGCCTACCTCTTGGGATACTTTGGGACCTTGTTCTGGTGAATTGTGCATAACCACCAGCTGCCTTTCTATTTTGAATCTGAAGTATGCAGCAGAGCAGGAAGGCACTGCGGAGAACCAAGTTCAGTTAGAAACCTGTCTGTGATGAAAAGATAGAGAGAAGGAGGAAGTGCTGCAATCTAAAGTTGTTAGACAGAGTGTGCCAGGCGTCTGGAGCTACAAAATATGTAGAAAAAACACCACACCCTTGGAGAAACCCCCAGATGAAAAACAGAACATTAAAAGTATTCTTCCAGTGATGGAAAGCTGCTGGGATAGTAGAGGAGGGGAGCCAAGAATTGATTATAATCTACCCCAATTCCTGTTACAAAAAGCAGCTATCGTTTCATAGCCTTTGTCATGCAAGAGCCTCTTATGTACTCTTTTCTGCCACCAACCGTACTCCTAATCAGAAAGCAAGTAAGTTTTCTTTCCAATTTAAAATGTTGTTTTTCTAGTGGGAGGACAGCTCGACCAGTTTCTGGTTTGCCTTATACTTTTTGCTTTCTTGATGTGCTCCACGAACTTTTGGGTGCAGCCCCTAGATCTACCCCTGAAAGCTACTGTATTTTATTTTTTTAATGTGATAAAAAGTCAGTCATTAATTATTAAATCTTGGCTCACTTTGCCACTACTTTGTCCTGTTCTCCACCCTCCATGTTTTGGAAGACATCCCCACATTGACCTTAAAGGACAAGTATGACCTCTGCTCTCATCAAATTATGCATATCTCCATAGTATAGTGGTAATAGAAAATTTTGATCTGAGCATGAATTGGGTGTACAGGCATGGACCCTTCTTCAGAGGAATGTACAGCAGCCTGAAATCAAAATATAACTGCAATTAATCACAATAATCACAATATTGGGCAGGTTGAGAAAACAGTAAGTTGCACCAACAAATCCTATATAGGTCTTACTGATTTAAGCTTTCCTAGATTACATCTTATATCCAGGTTCCTTATTTAGCCATCTTCTACCTGTTGGTGCAAGATGGACAGGTCAGTCAGTCTGGAATGTACAATAACAGGGAAGAATAAAACTAATGAAGAAGAACAAATGGCTTAGGGTCAACTTGTATGATCTTTAGTTGAGATGGTTGTGATTGTCAGCTGTCCCTGTAACTGGCTAATGGACAACAGATTAGAAAAATGGAATGCATGCCAAGGTTTACCTTGAGGAGATGAGAACTGGCAAAGTGGTGGCTAATCCATTTTGGGTTGTGTATCTCAGCACTGACACCTGAAGGCCTAAAATTATACTCCTGTAGAGAATGTGGCAGGTCTCCCAGGCATCATATAGGGAAATTATAACAGGACAGACTAGCCACAAATGGCCTTCCTTCCAGCACTCAAAATCTGATAGAAAATTCAAATGGCAAACAATATTTTTAAAACATTGAAAAATTGCTTGTGAATTGAATAATCTCTACAATAAACACCTAATGTAATTTTCAAAATCAGGGTACAACTAAGGAAGGCCAAAAGGTGCTTGCCTCAATTGATACCACAGAAATGTCACTGATAGTTTATAACAGTTCAGATGATTGGATTTATTCCATTTTGTTGGAGAAATAACTGATCTAAGAAAATCCTTATGGTAAATAGTGGCCAAGGAATGATAAGACCAACACACCCCTTGCAAGCAAGATTTTGCAGCTGATAAGAAGGCAAAGCAACACCCTGCTATGAGTCACAGAAATGACCTGTTACAGAGAGGGTTTGCCTTTGTCTTCCAGGAAGTTATTTCAACTTTCCAGTCTAGCCTGCAGCCCTAGAATTAAGCCAGGTCAACACTTTCTAGCTCCTAAGATCATCCAAGGTTCGTTACTCGTTAACACCTACTTAGGCACTCCAAACCATTTTTTTTTCTTTTGATGCCTTCAAGTCAGCGTTGACTCCTGGCGACTCCCTGGACAAGTCCCTGCAGCTCTCTTGGCAAGATTTCAGAAGTGGTTTGCCCTTGCCTGCTTCCTAGGGCTGAGAGAGAGTGACTGGCCCAAGGTCACCCAGCTGGTTTTGTTCCTAAGGTAGGACTAGAACTCCCGGTTTCCCGGTTTCTTTCTCTTAAATTGCCAGACACTTCTATTTAAATTGCACTGGTTGTAGGATTAAGAACATCAGCTAGCCAGCACAAGACAATTGCACAAGGCACATTGAATCCATTCCTCTCTCTCCATCTCTTTACAACATAAGAACAGGAGATGCTAAGATTCTGCAGATCTCACATTCTAGGATATCCTTTACATGTTAAAGAGGATCACATGTGAAGGATGGAGCAGAAGGCTTCATCCCTTGATGAGGGATGGCATCTCAACATTCATCACATCTGATGCAAAGAGAATATAACCAACCTTAGATGAACTTGAAAAAGCTAAGCAGGATCACACCAGGAAGTCTTGTGGCGGGGGGGGGGGGGGGGGGGCGGGCACGTACAGGCAAGACTGAGAAGTTGAAAAGTATCCAAGATACAAGGGGCAAACCTGTACTGTTGCCAGGATAACTATGTGGACATGTTCGTGAAGTTGTAGTCAACTCAAAGAAGCTCTTACCCCTCTATCATATAAATAGAAGCTCAGCTGAAATAGTAAAGATAGACAAGAAAACTGCAATATACACAAGAGGAAGATTTATTTATTTATGAGATTTGTACGGCTACCTAACTCAAATAGCTGTGACTCTGGACAGTGTACAATAAACAAGAATAATTAAAATCATAATTACAAAAAGGTGCTCAGGAACCCACAAAATACATTAGACCCCTCTAAGTGGGAAATCCAATGGCCAGGCAACTATATCACACTCTACTGGCTATTACATATGAAGGAACATAAGCCTTACTTTTTGGCAGGAACTTCAATATTATCTGTTATGCTAAAAATCAGAGCATCATTTCAGCATTATTTGTCCCAATGTCTTTTTCCCATAGCTAAAGGAAAGGAATTATTAAAAACTAGAAGTATATTTTCAGTAATGGGAGACATTGATACCGCCTTCCCACCCCCACCCCCTGCACAAACATTTTTTTTTTAGAGCATCAAAGGATTTTATTTCAGTGGTTTTTTTCCACAGGTGCTGTGAAATTAAGATATAAATCAATTCAAAGGATACTGAAGGTCTAATAAGAGATCAAAGGCTTGGATAGTCATTGTATTTTCCCTCCCTGTGGGTCTTTAATGCTGATGATTGCCGATTATTGTCAGCAAAGATTACAAATTAGATCTGGAAAGATATTTGGAAACATACAATAGGGGCTACTGAATATTTAACTGTGGAAAAATACAAGCAGCACGCCTCTTACCAACAGTGTATGAAAAGAGTAAACATGTGACTACTCCAAATGCTATACCATGCATGACAGTCAACTTCTATTGTGCCAAGGTGAACATTTTTGAAGTCTGCTTGTGCCTGTGGAGAACTGTGACTTAGTATGCAGCTCTCACATTTCCCTCCATGTCAGTGTTGTCCAAACTTGGCCACTTTAAGATGAGTGGACTTCAACTCCCAGAATTCC